TGTTTAACGACATAAAATGAAAGAATACTCGGACGCTTACCTCATGAGTGAATTTACGATGCGAGAATTCCTCATTAATTTTGAAGTACATCGTCGTATGACAAGAAACCTATTTACTCACTAAAATCCACAAGAGCATATCGATACCCGCTCTATGGGATTGTCAAGTAAAAAGGGAGACTGTCATATTTGATGTTTTCCGTATAATAATAGTACAATTTTCGGAACCCACACTAAACAAATACACAATCACACAAGCACCACAATTGTCCAGTCCTTAGTATCGAAACGTTAAAAATATTCATCTTTTTTCTTAATAATACATCTTGCAATAACTGATTCTTTTCTTTGAATTACTCATCGCGCATAATGTGTCATGTGTACATGGTGAGGAACTTTCGTAAACGAATTGATGTGTAAAAAAGGTGGATATTTTGTGGTGGATATTTTTGTACCGGATATAAATCCGGTACATTAAACGTAACAAGGTACCTAATGCTTTTAGAAGAAAATGCCTACATTTTTTTAAGATAATCCTTTAAATATTTGTTGAGGAATATGATACCACTATGATGGCTGTCCAGCTCATTTTTCATGTATTGCAGATTTTTTAAACATTAAAGTTACCATAACCAACGAACATAAGAGAACGAATATTTAGATCTTGCAGAACAGTTCGAATGAAAACAATTAAAAGAACAATTGATTGCTCTGCAAGAATTTCACTGTTTGCGTGACTGCTGAAGATCATCATTTTAAACATGCCTTACTTCAATTTAAATAAAATGTTTGTACATTTTTAAGGTATCGTTTATTTAAAGTCATTTGAAAGTTATGTGGGATGAGAGAATGACGCTATGCGGGAATGAGAGAATGATGCTGTCAGTAACCAACTGACCGAATGTTGATAATTAATCGTCGGTAATGTTGATTCTTAATTGCAATTATTTATGTGTTACCCCAAATCCGTACAAATTTCGAGGAACTTATATTTACCGGGCATCACAGTATGATTTCAGCCCTTAACTTCGAGGGCTATTTTCACCCTTTCAATGTGAACGATGGCCGATAAAAAAAACACGTGTCAAATATCATCTTGAAAACTGTCTTTCACATAAGTTTCATTGAAATCGGTATGTCCCAATTCGATATATTTCCTTGTAAGCTCAGAAGTTAACAGCGCTCGCGAGAGAAAAAGCAGCGGTAAATATGCCGTTGGAGGGAGCAGCTCCATATAATACGGCCACGATTATATTTTCGTTTCCCAATTTTGGCCTCATCGATTTCAATTATTTTTCCTGGACCACCCAGAACTGTATCTTGATCTAACTAGGCTAATCTAATTGTGCTAGCAACTGCAATATTTAAAAGTAGTATATAAAATAAAAAATTATACATATATTGCATAATTATTTTAATTACCTCTCCACAAAAATTGGTCCAACCTACAACACTATGAGAATTCATTTCCAATTCAAATTGTAAAAATTGTTGTTGGGGTGGACGTAACATTAAAAAATAAGCAATAAAACGACATGCTTTGTCTAAGCCTAGCCGAAAACGGAAGAAGAATGTTCCATTTAACGGGCTTACTTTGAAATTACATGTCTTCCTTTGCCTTTTTCGTCCATGAACAATTTTATAATAGTGTCCAGTGCAATGAAACAATAATGTATTATTTATATATGTGGGAATGAGAGAATGACGCTGTGCGGGAATGAGAGAATGATGCTGTCAGTAACCAACTGACCAAATGTCGATAATTAATCGTCGGTAATGAATGATATTAGAATATGTGTTTTGTCATTTTGCGTAAGAGTTACCGACGTTTACCGACGTTTCAAGGCATTTTAGAGCGAGCGGGATTGATGAGTTTTTTTTTAAAAGACTATCGGGAAAAAAGAGCGTTGTTGATTAGAAACCTGGTCGTAAGAGAAGACGCATTAAAAAACAAGTTGTAAAAGTCGATAAAGGTCGTGAAGGTTCGGCGTTTATTAAAAGATTGTAAACATCGTTTATTTTTAAAAGTTCTGTGTTTTGCTAGTGTTAGAGTTAAGTTTTGTTTGTTAATGTTCGTGTTAAAATTTGTTCCTTGTTAAATAATAAACAGAGTTTATTTTTATTTTGCACAAAACCGAATCCAAACGGTGCAAAACCATTTGTATCATTTTAATTCCTACAGTTATGACATGTATCACATCATGTATCACATTATCGTACTCATATTGACATCCGGTACAACCCTATGATGTTGAAAGTATATGTTACAATCTAAAAATTGCCGATGTCCTTTAAAAAACCTTTAAAACGACAAAAGTTGGAAAATTTTGTTATATCCCAATATTTGTCTCCTTAAGGGGTAACACCACTCTAGAGCCCGAAAAAGAGGCCTAACTTTGACAACCTAACTTTGACAATTTAAGAACAACAAACGGAAAGAGGGTTCTCAGAGAGGGTTTTCAGAAGGTTTATTTAACACATATTGAACTACGACAAAATAATTTTTGATTGTCATTTTCGTACAAAATGGAGGCGACAGAGCCGATCGGCGGAAACAGCTTTTGTGAAAACACTCCCACGGGAGGACGGATTTCTCGTTATGTATGAGTCGTGGGATAAAAAATCAAAAAAATTTAGAATCTGTATACCATTGGCTATAGAAGTACGTAGGGGTTTTTTGATTAATCAATTTTGGAATGAATCGACTTTTTGCATGAAAAATGAGCACTAAATTGTTTATAAAAAAAAAAGTTTACATTCAATCAAAAAACGGCTACGTACTTCCAAGGACAATATTGTTGTGCAGCTACTGTAAAAATTTCAATTCAATCCATGCAGTAGTCACT